ACTTAGTGCCTGTTTGAATGTAATTGCCATCACTGAGACTTCACTGATTCAGTAAACTAATCTTGTTAATGTACTATCTCTTATTTGGTAGTGTCATCATGAAGTTATCTGAGATAAACTTGTAAGCAGTTTATCTTTTTGGAAAGGTCTTTACTTTATTCAAAGTAATTTGCTAAAATTTATTTCTTTTAGCAAAAAAATAGCTAGAAAATAAATAATTAAATAACATTATGTATATTACAAGGTATATATCAAACAGATAACAAAATAATTATCATACATGGTATATTAAATTTTACATAAAGTAAATCTACTAGAGATAAATTAATTGTTATCCTAACAGGCTCTTACTTTAGACTTTGAGCCAAATACAGGAAAGGCCTGATGCCAATTTATTAAAAAGATCTAGGTAAAAGAGGGTATTATCCAAGTACACATGATAGAGACATCCAGCCCTCCCCTCATGAAGCTTAGATAGACACTTGGAGATCCATTACTTACTGGGTCAACATGGAATTTGTTTCAACTTTGTTCATTGGTCAGGTTCAATAGTTTTTTAAACAGATTAGGCAAACCGACTCCTTTAGAATAACCCGAAATCCAATAATATTTTAGTAGTTTTCTTCTTTTACTGAATTAGTTAGGGAAGATTCCAAACTTGAATTGACCAATAGCTCTAAACAACATGCCAAAAAAAAAAAAATTACAATTTTAGATCTTCCTATTCTTGACAAGTTTGGAACATATCATATGTTGATAGGAATTTTGTTCTTCTTTCTTACTCTTTTTTTTGTCTCCCTCCTCTCTTTGTAGGGTGTGGTGATGCTTTTATCATTTTCTTTTTTTGGGGATTTGGGTGTGCTTTTTGTTTATTCTATTTAAGTTTGGATAATTCTTCTCTTTTGTTTTATTTTTCTTGTTCTCTTCTTTTTTCGTCCTTTTTTTGCGTGTTTGATATGTCTGAAATCGAGTTGCATACATTTTGTGGCAAGGAAGATTGGCCCCAACTCAAAGTAAGTTAAAGTACGATTGAAAGCCCTTTCTGCTACAAGGATTCGTTGAGACAAGAATAACCAACAAATGTTATAGATAATTCACTTAGTAGCAGATTTTGAATATTGGTAACTTCAATGCTTGTTTCTGTCCATATAACACACATTTAGCATCTAGGAAAGCAATAGAGCAAAAACATGAAAGTTCTTACGGAAGCTGTTCAATCACAGTAATGAGAAGTTTCCCTCATGGCTTCAGTTGCTCCATGCCAAGAGACCATACCTCAAACCCCTGGACCCCAAATTGGCTAAACTTAAGGACCCACAGCAGAAAAGTACGAAATGAGGCCATGATCCTAAACTTTGCTAAACCTTGAGACCCATAAAAGAAAGGTGTTGAAGGATCGACAAAAAGAAGGTAATTCTTCAAAGGGTGCAGTTTGTATGGGGCATGAGCTCTAAACAATCAAATTAGAGCCTACCTTCAAATAGTATCGAGAAATGTGGTTTCAATATTGAAAATCTTTGTGATAGCCATAAAATACATTTTTATTTTTATTTATAAAGTTTAAAGCTTTAAAAATAGTGCAGAGATCTATGAAAACTTGAAAATCTTGAAAATTAAGGGTTAAAAAATGTATTACAAAATACACTATTTTTAAAACTTAAAATCGATTTTTATTCTCATGTCTATGCATCTTGATGTCGAGATGATCAATTTGATGATATTTGGGATAAGCTCAAATTTTATCAATATCGTGAAATTTTTGAAGTAGGTTCAAATTTGATCGTTTGGAGCCTCAGCTACATATAAACGTTTCCCTTCTTAAAACGGCTAGGGTTTTAATTTTCAAATATATTCCACGAATACCGGAACCTAGGCAATCGTCGAGGATCATATGATCGGGGCGATGGTCGACACTTGGCCTAACAACGTTGTACTATTTGTTTTGGTAGTGCGTGTACATGGTGGCGATTCGATGTATTGTGTCGTGCCATGGAAGTAAGCGAATTGCCGTTTCGAATCTCCAAAGGACAACACGCGTGCGACCCATAAATTTGCTCTCTCTCTCTCTCTCCTTCTTACTTTTTAATTACTATTGCCACGAATAATAAAAAGCTCCCCTCTCTTTCTTCTGCTGATTCTTGTTACTATTCCCAGTAATAATAATGGTAAATCTCTTTCTCTCTCTCTAACTAGCTGTCGTCACTTTATTTTATTTAAAAAAAAAAAAAAAGAAAAAAAAAAAGAAAAAGAAAAGCTGTCATCACTTTCGTTGGCGTATCACTCTTACAGGCATTGGTGCAGAGAGTTTGTTAGCATGTCATGGTCTTTCCTTACATTTTTCATTCCCATTTTCCTGCTTTGCATAATAACTGCTGTGTCCTCGTCCAATGTCGAAGAAAGGAATGACGTTGTTTATTGGAGCCGTACATGGGCACGTGTCAGTGATCTATACGGTCCATGGTTTGAATTGATTGCTGACGTTAATTGGCAGGGGACAAGCCACATGGAACGCACCCTGCTCCCTATTTGTTTGTTGTTGATGATGAGCCCAATAAGAGAGAGAGAGAGAGAGAGAGGGTAGGATGAGCAGCATCGACATGAATAAGTGAGCCTCCTCTCCTACCTAGGGTTGGGTGCACCCATCTTCTTCCCATTATTATTGTTTTTGAACTCATTTCTCAGTCATTTGCAGCTGATATCACCTGTGAATTCAGCAAAGATTTTAGGGTTTTATGAGCACTTCTCCCGATTTGTGAGGGCTTACCTTGATAGTCCATGGAGCTCCTCGACAAGGGTTGGCATCTGAGATCAAAGGTAACAAGCATTGAGGGTTTTTTGCCTTTCTTCTTCTTGTTGTGTGTGAGTGAGTGAGTGAGAGTTTATTATTTGAACTTGTCTAACCCATCCAACGCAACACTTCAGTCTTGTGGTTAGTTAGGAGAGATTATCAGGTAGCACAGAGAGAGGAAGGACGCTTCCATAGAGAGAGACAGCGAGGAAGATGGGGCGAGGTAAGATCGTGATTAGGAGGATCGACAATTCGACTAGCAGGCAGGTGACCTTCTCAAAGCGTCGGAGTGGGTTAATGAAGAAGGCGAAGGAGCTCTCCATCTTATGCGATGCCCAAGTTGGCTTACTTGTGTTCTCCAGCACCGGCCGGCTCTACGAATTCAGTAGTTCCAGGTTCGCCTTTAGATTCTCCTTTTTTTCTCTACATTTTTTCTTTTTTTGTTCATTTCTTTTGAATCATCGCCAGATCTAGAACATCCATTTCGCATTTCATCCATTACCATTTTTTTCTGTACATGCCTGTTTGTAATTTTGATGAAACAGAATTATTTTCTTGGTTATCGTTTTGAATGCCATCCTTTTTAGGGTCGCTATTTGTAACTATTAAACATGATCACATGATAAAATTTTATTTTTGAGGGCCCCGAGATATCTAGGAATTTTCAGCTTCCATGCGAAAAGGCGATGGCCATGCTGGCCTTGCAGATTCCCTCATCAACTGAGTTGCTCATCTGTGCATGGATTCCTTATCCAAACCAAATAATAAACTAAGTTGTATTTTGGAGACAGGAACTATTTTTTTATGTATTATTCACTTGATTCTCTAACCCTAAGTTTGGAGGTCTGTTGCGTCTCCGAGGTTTGAGCTATATTGGGAATACTTTCTTCACCTATTTTGTATCAAGAAGAAGGAGGAGTAAAAAGAGTAAAGAGAAAGAAGAAAGAAAGAAACAGTTGCACAAAAGGGTATCATAAGGTAGAAAATATTGGATTTTATGAGTTGCACTATTTATTAACAGATTTTGTAGTTCTTCAGTTAATGACTTGGAAAACACAATGGTGCAACACCACTTGCACTTCTTCACCATCATTCTCTGCTGATGTCTGGGTTGAGTCAAATGAAGAAGTTTGGAACAGCAGATTCATTGTGATGTGACTGGAAGCCATTAGAGTTGGGTTAAGACCAGATAGGAACAAAGAGGAAGAACTATTAAGACTAGATAGACGGTTGATAGTTGTGAAGGGTCGTGAGTTGAGTATGGTGATACTCATGGTGCAAGTGTTAACTAGATTTTTTTATGTGCTTTTAAAATCAAGATTTGGGGGCTTGAATGAAGAGGCTTTGGAAGGGAGCACAACCACATAACCTTTATTTAATGGTGATCCGCACGTAACGGCTAAAAAGGAATTCGGTTACTTAGAAATTTTGAGAAATCAGGAAAAATAGAAAAAATCCTCTAAGGATATCATGCCTTAATGTAATGGCAACAGAATGTGAGGGATGTTTAAGAATTTCAAATCTCATAAAATGATAGTGAGGGTTTTATTTAGCTTTAACATCGTATGCGGATGATATGTGATGACTGGAAGACATGAGGTTTACCACTTATAAACCTGGAGAAATTGTTTGCTTCAAATCAATAGATGCATTACTGAGGTCTAGTTTCATCTTTTTTAGCACGTAAGCCAGGTTAAACACATAATCTCAAGGATGTGACAAAGAGTTACACCTACTGATTGAACCTTGTTATCAATCCTAAGGCATGAGTCAACTTGCTTGAATTTGTTACTCGTATAATTCCTTTTGTCATTTTACAGCTAATCTCTTCAACACTTTCTTTTTACCCCTCAAATGGCAGACAGCTAATCATGTCATACCTAATAATCAAAATACCAAATGCTTTGCTGAACGATCATGCCTTCACGCGGCTTTTTAAGTAGCCTTCATATATTGGTCACAGGAATAAATGGAAACACCGTTTCCCTTTCACACCTGTGTGGAAACTTTTATCCCTCTTGGTTGACACCACCACCATAATTTGATGTTCAGCACCTCAACCATCATGTAGACCCTCCTTTGACAACACATAGCTAGCACACAACAGTTGAGATCACTAGTGAACATAATTGAAGGATGACACAATCAATCTGATATTCTCTAAAAAGTCTAATCCCATAAAAAATCAGTTCAAATAACAGAAAGTGAACCCAAATAATGAAATGTCTTAATGGCTTCCCAGAACTGCAACCTTAGTCTAATTGCTTTTGGGCAGCACAATAGAACAATATGGGGAGCTTTACCAATTGGAAAAGGACCTTCTAGCTATTATACTGTTGTAAAATCGGGATAACCCAATCACTCCTTTTGAACAAATCGGGATATCTCAAATCCCACTAGATGTGGTGAGCACTGCACCACAATCATTTCAACACTCAAATAACATGCCCAATATGCAATAACACGTGCAATATAATTGCAAAAAATATAAAAATAAAACAAGCAATATGGGAAATCATCAAAGAAAGTAAAGAGGGACACGCACATGTACGTGGTTCACCCAAGATGGGCTACGTCCTCGGGCAAGACGGCAAAGATGTATTCACTATCAAGAGGAAAACTTACAAGATTGGAGTTATGTAGAGTTACCTCATACAATCTCAAAGAAAAACTCAAACAAAAGAACTTCCTACCACAAAACCAACTACAATCGATTCTTTCTTCGACTCACCGATGCCGTAAAAAAATACCGACAAAAACGGCCCAAGATGAGCCCCAAATGGTAGTGCTAGGGTTTTGTTGCAAAACCCCCAATTTTCAACCCCAAGTTTCTCTCTCTACAAGTTCCCTTTCACCCTCAAAACCCCCTTTTATTGGCCTCCACTAAAACAGCTTATTATAGTGACAAAAATACCCTAACAAGAGAGAGAATACCATACGACCATAAGGTGTGATCTTTGCATCACATCCCAAAAATCTCCACTTCAATGCAAAATCACATCTTTGTCTTGTCAAACCATCACTTCATTCCTTTCTTGAGACCTAGAGAAGTTAAACTTCATTCTAATTTCTCTACTTATATGGGCTTCATAGGTATATCTACAAGGTTGTCTTTGATCTTGATCTTGACCAATCGAACTCTTCCATCTTCAACAACTTGACGGATATAGTGATATTGAATCAATATGTGCCTTGAATTCTTGTGGTGAACCGGGTTCTTGGCCAAATGGATGGCATTTATATTATCACAAAATAGTTCCATGGGCTTACACATAATGTCCATCTCACCTATCAACCCTTGAAGCCACACAACTTCATTTGATGCCTCCATTGTCGTCATGTACTTGCCTTCGATAGTTGACAATGCTACCATGTCTTGAAGCCTTAACATTCAACTAACCGGTCGATTTGCAAAACGAAAAATAAATGCAGCAATCGACCTACCTCTATCAAGATCACCGGCAAAATTTACATCCATAAAACCTTGCATTTGGGTTGAGCCCTTGCCAAATGTGATTGCATAACTAGTTGTGCCTTATAAGTACTGTAGCACCTATTTTGTTGCTTCCCAATGAACCTTTCCGAGGTTTGCTATAAACTGACTTAGAACACCAATCGCATGCACGATATCCGGTCATGTACATACCATAGAAAACATTAAACTTTCAATCGCATTTGTACAAGGAACCTTTCTTTCTTCTTCTGTCTTTGGACTTTGCATTAAAGACAATTTGACGTGAGGCACTAGGGGTGTCTTCATCGGCTTTGCATCTTTCAAGCCAAATTTTTCAAGCACCCTTTCTATGTAACCCTTTTGAGATAATAACAAAATTCCATTTTATCTATGCCTTTCAATTTCAATCCCAAGAGTTTTCCTTGCTGACCCGAGATCCTTCATCTCAAATCTTTTGCTCAAAGAAGTCTTGAGCTCATCAACTTTTGCCTTATCTTTGCACACCAAATGCATGTCATCTACATATAAGACTAAAATCAAGTATGTACCATCATCAAATAACTTTATATAGATGCCATGGTCATACTTACTTCTTGTGTACCCAAGGCTCATCATGAACATATCAAATGTTCTATACCATTGTCTTGATTCTTGCTTGAGCCCATAAAATGACTTCTTCAATTTACACACAAGTACTTCTTTGCCCTTCTCTATGAAGCCTTCCGATTGTTGTATGTATACTTCCTCTTCAAGTTGTCCATTCAAAAAAGTCGTCTTCATATCCATTTGCTCAAGTTTTAAATCATGCACAGTAACTAACCCAAGCACCAAGCGAATTGAGACCAACTTTACTGTCAATGCAAAAATTTCATCAAAGTCAATACCTAGTTTTTGTAAAAAACCTTTTGCCACCAATCTTACCCTATACCTTTCAGGCTTTCCATCAAGCCTTTTTTTTTATCTTGAATAGCTATTTACAACCAACGGCTTTTTTACCTTTCGGTAGCTCCACCAAATCCCAAGTCTTGTTTCTTTGAAGGGCTGATATCTCTTCTTCCATAACTCTTTTCCAATGCTCGGTACCATTGCTACCAATGGCTTCACAGAATGATGTTGGCTCTTCATTTTCGGCTATCAAATAATGCAAAGTATTTGGATCCACATAATCTTTGTGTCACCCGGATGCACGAGTTTTTCTAATAGAGCTCCTATGTGCCAAAGGCACAACTTCATCATGATGGCCATGTGGTTCTTCATCTTGACTTCTTAGTTTTTCATACTCTTCACTATGATCAATGGGTATATTCTCATAAGGTATAGTTGTACTTGGTGGAAGTATTTTCTGGTTGCTTTCAAATTATTATCTGTTTTCCAATACATTCGATTCATCAAAATGCACATCATAGCCAGTGATTGTTTTTCAGGTACTTGGATCCCATAATCAGTACCCCTTCACACCCCTGTTATAACCCACAAAGATGCACTTCCTTGACCTTGGATCCAACTTGTTCCTTTGGCAACTTGGAATAAGAGCATATGCATCACAGCCAAAAAATTTTAAATCAGGGTAGTTACTTGGAGTTTCATACCATACCTCATTAGGAGTTTTGCTTCCCAATGCTACCGAAGGTGATCGGTTGATAAAATAACAAGCTATTGATACGGCTTCTACCCATAATTCTTGTTTTAGGCCAGCATTGCTTAACATGCATCTCGCACTCTCCATCAAAGTGCGCTTCATCCTCTCGGCTACACCATTTTGTTGAGGATTGTAGGTATTTGTGTAATGCTTAGTAATTCCCTTGGCCTTGCAAAAAATTTATAACTCCTTTAATACAAACTCTCCACCATATCGGTCCAAAGAACTATGATATGATACCCCGTAGATTTTTCAACTTCGGTTTTAAAATTCTTGAATGCACAAAACACATCACTTTTGGA